CCTGGCAAGTTCCGTCTTCTTTCGGAGTTCATGAACTGGTCCAAAGGTAATTCGTTTTTAAGTTATTACAATGTTCCAATTTGAAGGATTGATATTATCTTAGTTTAAATAGGGAGGCAACGGAGAAGTCTAGTCTGATATGCTAAAACAAAATGTATTTTCCCTCCGTCTGAATGGGGCTTCATAATTTTCTGATTATGCACAGCAGTATGGCCCACAGGGAGGGGGAACAGGTATTCTTCAGATGGACAGGGTATCAAAAGTACCTTTATTTATGCATACATTGGGCCTATTTGCTGAAGTTCTCAAACATAATTTGCGATGGGAAAACAGAACAGAAGCAATGANAATCATTAAATTGTTCGCAACTCAAAGGGGACTTGTCAATATTTTTTTCTTTTTAGGGCTGATTGCCTGAAGCAAATACAGAGGTAAAAATGTAAACTCTAATCACGTGAAATTGATTAATCTGGAAATATATCAAAAGGTGTTCGGTGAGACAGGCAAACTGTTGTGTATCCGAAGTTCAGTAGGTAGTTGAGCACACAGTGAATTAGGCAACATATTTATTGTAAACGGTAAATATGTAGCGGGTTCATAGATCGGGGAGCAAGCAGAAACGGCAACACGTAGGAAAGTAGACAGGCCGACACCGGCTCACTCGTCCCACTAAATCCGAAAGCCGTCAGGCTGGCATTCAAATAATCAGTCAATCAATCATTCTGGCCACAGGCATGTATGACAAACGTGTCAGTTAGTTGTAAGCAACAACACAAACAAACAGATGAAATTGGTATTGTTGTTCCACTGTAACTGTTTTACCTCAAAATCTCTGTTCTTCACCCCAATTTCCTTATCCTCTGTTATGATTGTTGTTGCGTTGGCACCGTGCTGTTTGTGAGCCGGTGATGTATGCACGAAATTCGCGAACATTACCTAAGCATGCTTCATAAAGCGTCCTCATTACGTGTGTATTCATTTTGCTTGAGTTGATTAGAACAGTAGACTCCTGTATGATGTACACCATTTCCGTATTCTTCTTTTCCTTCCATTTTACTTCTTTTTATTTATTATACAAAGGTACAATTCTCAGGAAGGGGAAAACGGCTACTCAAAGTGCTGCCATTCAACACACGAAGGGGAAAGTTAAGCGGTGGTGGTTGGATTCGAACACACATTACTGAGGTGATAGTTTAGTGACTTTAAAACTGGGCCACCACCGCCCGCTTCATAAAAGTCCCCGATTGGGATTCCAGCATGGATTGGGAGCAGATATCGATCCTTGCAGTTATTGTTCCGTTACACCAGCCATATTTTAGTTTTTCGTGTGTGTCACAATGCTGGGACTATGAGTGATATCCGATAGGCTTTGCGAACTCCTGTCTACTTCGCTTAAGGGATTATGAATTGAGAGGCTCAAAACTGGCATCACAAGAATCCCTTAGCAAAAAATCGATAGCTCCAAAGTNGAGCCATACCAGCAGCGCATGAGCCTATCGCTGCCGTCTGCATTAAATATTCCCCTTGTCATTAGGTAATTCCAATCAGAATTAGAACGAAATCGATTAGCGGAAAGCCTATTACGAACGACGACATATTAGGTGTGGTGATCGATTATACCGGATAGTGGTCTACTCACTGAAGATCGATCTGTTTTACATGAAGTAAAAGAGCGCGCACAAATACACACATTGCCAGCCAGTCCCGAAGTCTAGTGGATATGTAAATTCGACTTCAGTCTGAGTCGTGCAGAAAGGTGACTGTATTTACGGGAAATACACGAAATTCTAACACAACAGATTCCAATAATTAGTTATGAGTTGTTTTTTACAAGACAGGGCTGTTCTTCCACCTAAAAAATGTGGCACCCGGTGCATTTCTCGTATCTCGGTAAACGAGCGACCAGCAACCACAGATACACGGTCTAACTAGTGACTTGTTCTCAGTCTATCATGTCCGCGATTCACTGAACTTCTCCAGTACGGGACGAATGGGACAGGCTGAAAAGAGTGGCGAAGTTCAACGCAGTATCCGAGGCGAATGTATCGAATTCAAATTTTTATTATGGGAAACAACAAAGACTTCGCTTATCAAATCCCATAGGGTGTTCACACTTTGGTTCGGAACACGATTCACAAGATCACAGTTAGTCCATTAAAGTAAAATAGTAATGTAATGTTTTTGACGAGCACAGGAGAATATATTATATAGTTGGGTGTTGAAACATAATGTTTACCAGAGAATCATCAAGCTGACGCTTCAAAGATACTAATGTTGGCGCACAGACCATGTGACGTGGTAGAGAATTCCATTTGCTGCATACTGACTGCAAACGAATGGC